AAAGAAATTTTAAGCGCAATATTCGATTTTGGTCCGGAATGTTTGGAAATTTGCTTTTCAAGAGAAGTTTTGTAATTGAAGTAGGACCGTACGAGTTATAAATGAACCTAACAACCTTTTTTTGCACCCTTTCAAGTTTTTGGATATCAGTCTGAGTGAACGGGTCCCATATGACCACAGCATACTCCAGTATAGGACGGATAATGGCATTGTAAGCGAGGAAACGAATACTTGGTGTGGTTGATCTTAAAGAACGCCTTAGGAAAAAAAGTTTACGGAGAGATTTAGCTACTACAAAATCTATGTGCTTTGACCAGGATAGATTTTTTGTAATCCAGAGACCAAGGTACTTGTATTGAGTTACTTCTGACAGAATTGTATTGTTGGTGGAGTACTGGAACAAAAGAGGGTCTTTTTTAAGGGTAATTCTCATAAAAACCGTTTTAGCGAAATTAACAGGCATCTGCCATTTGTCACACCACGAAATTACTTTTAGAAAGTTCCGATTTAGTTTAATTTGATCGTCAACTGAGGTGATCGTTTCATATAAGACACAGTCGTCGGCGTACAACCTAATGTGAACAGAAAGGTCAGTGACGATATCATTTATATATAACAGAAAAAAAAGAGGCCCAAGGACGGATCCTTGAGGAACGCCTGAGTTTACAGGGGCGTGTTTAGAAGATGTATTTTTTACCGTAACAAATTGACGCCTGTTTGTTAGATATGCTGTTATCCAGTCAAGCATCTTTTTGTTTTGTAGAATACAAGTTAATTTGTGAAGTAATTTAGCATGCGAAACTTTATCGAAGGCTTTTTGAAAATCCATAAATATGGCATCCGTCTGCTTCCCTTCGTTAATTGCTTGAGCAAAGTCATGCGTAATTTCCACTAATTGAGTATTCGTTGAAAAGCCCCGCCTGAACCCATGTTGAACATTTGTTAATACTTTATGAGAATTAAGGAAGGTAATTATATGTTTATGAATAATGTGTTCTAGAATTTTACATGATGTCGATATAAGGGAAATCGGTCGGTAATTCGGAATAGATGACTTGTCTCCCGCTTTGTGTAAAGGCTTAATTTTGGCGATCTTCCAGTCATCTGGCAGTTGGCCCTCATTCAACGAATGGGTATACAAAATAAACAAATAGCGAGAACACCATTCTGCATAGCGCTTCAAGAAGGCATTTGGAATGCCATCTGGCCCGGTTGATTTTTTAACATCCAGATTCAGCAGTAAGTTTAAAATGCCATTCTCGGAAATGACTAAGTCTGGAATAGGTGGGAGCGATATTGAAAAATCAGGAAGGATGCCGTTATCACAAGTAAAAACAGACTTGAAGTGGTTGTTGAAGGCGGAACAAACTATTTCTTCATTGCATGTTCTTTGGCCGCTTATCGTGAATGAGTCAATCGAGCGAGATGTTGGCGTGATCAGCCTCCAAAATTTCTCGGGTGATGTTTTGATAAAAGTTGGAAGCGATGTTTCGTGGTAGCTTTCCTTGTCGCGCGCAATTTGCAGTTTTAGTTCGCCCGACAGGTTAGCTATCAGCGGTGTATAAGCAGCTTTATCATGAGATTTCGCTCTTTTGCTTTTTATTCGTTTAAGTTTTCGCTGTAAATGTAGCGTTTCTCTTGTAATCCAGGGGTTCCGGCATTCACTTTTTTTAACGATTTTCGGTATGAAACGCTCCACGCATTCAAAGACAATATCTTTAAAAGTAAGCCACAGATCATTCACACTGCTACCCGAGTGTTTAAAATCATCGTAATGAAAATCAAGGATATCCAGAATGGATTCATCGTCAGCTCGGGAAAAATTCGGAAAGGAAGTTTTTGTACAGCAGCGGTCAACACACATATCTAAAAAAGTTAGCAAAACTGCCCTGTGATCCGAAATACCACTGATAACTTCACATATTGCCGTGTTTTGGATTGAGCCACTCAAAAAGAATAAGTCCAAGATAGATTTTGAACCATTTAGTTCTCTAGTGTATTCTTTAACAACCTGCAGTAAATCGAACGAAAAAACAATATCTAGCATTTCGTGATTAGCATTGCTAGTAGAATGAGAAGAAAAATTTTCCCAGTCAATATTAGGCAAGTTAAAATCTCCTGACAAGATGAGTTTGTCATGTGGCTTTATGTTTTGCCGCAGGTAGGTTCTAAGCTTATCCAGAACACTATCAGAAGAGTTCGGGGGACGATAAACCGCACCTATAACATAACGAACTTTGCCTATATAGACTTTGCAAAATATGCCCTCAACTTCTAATATATCAGGCAATTGTTGCGGATGTAATGAGTTCTTGAAAAGTATCGCAACTCCTCTACTTGGTTGTGCACGTATTCGCACAACTGCGTATCATCCAGCATCAAATGGCTTACTGGAGAGACTCCATTGTCATCTAAAAGCAGCACTCGCCTCGCAGCCGCACGCCGAAGATTGGGTATCACACCTCCCCATCGTGCTTCTCGGCCTGCGCTCAACACTTCGGCCAGAACTTGCCTGCTCGTTAGTCGAGATGGTTTATGGCTGCACACTCCGTTTGCCTGGTGACCTCGTCAGCCCCGTTACTACGCAGTGTTTCGGATCCATCTTCTTTCGTCCAGCGTATGTGGATCTTCATGCAAAACTTGCGCCCATCACCAACTTCAGCTCACACTAAGAACGACGTTCTTCTGCCGGCAAACCTACAAACATTTTCACACGTTTTTGTTCGTGTCGATGCGTCTTGCCGTGCTCTTCAGCCTCGCTATGACGGTCCTTTCCCAGTCATCAAGCGTTCTGAACATAATTTTACAATCCTGCGTAATGGACATGAAGACATAGTCAGCATTGAGAGGATCAAGCCGGCACCCATTCTGACAAGCTCCGTCTGATCATTTTTTTTCTTCAAGTGCCCAAGGCCACTTGTCTGCAGGGGGGGGGGGGGGGCCTATTTGTGGCATACTTTTCTTCTCCTTCTGGGACGACACACTTGGGACATAAGCGAGTAGTGGGTAGTCTGCTGAGGAGAAAAGAAGAAGTAGTAGGAACAATGGCGGAGATGCATTAATAAAACCGCGCTGTGATTTCGGCACCGTGTTTTAGAGTGCTATACAGGCATCGTTTCAGTTCTTGATATGCTTCCTCCTGTGGGGTTTCCCACTTAAACTTGACGTCAGTCTTTGTAAAGTTAGTGAGTGGCTCGGCGAAGCGGGCAAAATTTTTGACAAAACGCCTGAAATAAGCGCAGAGGCTGAGAAATGGATGCACGGCCTTCTTGTCAGTGGGTGACAAGAATGCAGCGATGGCCAATGTCCTGCTGTAATCAGACTTTCCTTTTGCATGGCCACAAATTCGGCCCATATAAACAGTTTCCTTTTCGACCTGAAGTCTGCTCCCTTCGTCAACGTCACGACCCGTGACAATATTTTGAATAGTAAAATTTCAGTGCCAATCAATCGAATAGCAAGCACTATAACAAAAATATTTGAAAGTTTAAATATTCATAAACTCATATACCATATACGATTTGAACTATTTGATTTTAAATTATTTGACCAAAATGCTAATTGCTTTGATTGATTTGTGGGGTTTAACGTCCCAAAACCACCATATGATTATGAGAGACGCCGTAGTGGAGGGCTCCGGAAATTTGGGACGCTAATTGCTTTGAATGTATTTTGAACCTCAAGTTAACTACTACTTCATCCCTACAATAGATAATTACGAACAATATAGTAGTGGGGGAAACTCTGGATTAATTTTGATTATTTGGGGTTTTTCGCTGGCGCCTAAACCTGAGTAAAAATGTGCGCTTTGAATTTTGCCTGTAATAAAATATGAACTATGCTTAGTTTTTGTTTATACCCTTTGATTTTAGCAAAAAATTCCCACCACAACTCAATCGACCAAACTTTAGTTTTATCTGAATGTAGTTCACGAAAATGCGGTGCCAGTTCTTGCAGTGTGAGTGCAGAACAACACTAGTGGTTTAAGAAAGGGAAAGAAGATAACCACCTGTTTGTAGCACGAAGTCACAAGGAAATCCGTACGGATTTCTCAGAAAGAAAAGCTTCTTCGTTGCCGAAAAATTCCTCTTGGTCTGGGGTCGGAACTCGGGACCAGGACGACTTTTTCAGCAACTAAGAAGATTTTCTTTATCAGAAAGCTGTATAGATTTCCTCATGGCTTCGTGCTACAAATAAACTGCTGTCTTCTTTCCTTTTCATAAACCCTTCCACCACCTTAAGGGTTTCCGCAGAACTCAATTGTAATACTTGTGTCCATGTGCTTCAAGCTGTTGATGAATTCACCCTCGTACTGTCAATTTCTTGCTTCCTGGTTAGCTAATTTGGTAGAGCGAACCACCGGGAAGGCGTTGGCCCCTGATTTGAACCCCGGATCAGGACGAATTTTTCGACAACTAAGAAGTTTTCTTTTCTGAGAAATCCATATATATTTCCTCGTGGCTTTGTTCTACAAACGGGTGGTTGTCTTTTTTCCCTTTCATAAACACTTCCACCACTTTGAGGGCTTTCGCAGAACTCATTTGCGACCCTAGTGGTTGCGGGCAGCGGTCAATCGACGGGGAACTGCACAACGCTTTGCACTGATTGCATTAAATGAGAACGAACTCATGCTAGTGCTGAAGAGAACTCGTGAAGCACAGCATCACATCAAACGCAGATGGTAAGTGCTCCACTCGCCAAATCAAGCACCAGAGTCTCGATTGAACTAGAGAAGTAAGCACAGCCAGATTTGAGACATCATAAAACAGCTTGCCTGAGCAAGAAGTACCGAAAATTCGCCTGCTGTAGACCCTCAGTAAACGGAATTATTTTAAACCGAACTGGCTCTCCAACTCGTTTCAGGCTAGTACACTGCACCCCTGTTCATCACTCGAAAACCCCTGTTAAATGAAGCGTATTTTCCTGGTCCCTCCAGATTCCTTTTAATGAGAGTATATGGATGCACAAGCAAGGCCATATTTATGGCAATGAAAGAATACCTGGAGGCCGGTGAAACTGGGGTGACTTGGGTGGGTGTGGTTCAAGAGGCCTGCGTAGATAGCCCTGGGTTGGCTCTGCAGTCAGGTAGCTGTATGCGTACACACGGCTCAGGTCGCTCAGCATGGGCTCCTTGTCGAGTAAGCTGCCAGGGCTGGATGACCTGCCAAACTGCCACGTGAAGAGCACATTGATGCACTGTTATCTTGGCAGCATTATCTTCACATGCACGCATCAAAATCAATGAACAAGCGTAGCACCACACTTCATGGGATGCAGTCAGGTTTCGTCACGCGACAACATCTTCTGCCTCAGCCAGTTTCTGCTCATAATGGCCGCACACAACACTGCTGCAGTGTAGCAAGCTCCTGAGTTACCCAGTACTCTAGCAATGTTTCAAGAGACACGGCACATATTTCTTCTAAAAAGTATTGCACGCACTGTCTTTGGTGCCAGGCTAGATCTTTAGCATGAAGTAGAACATGACACTAAACAACACATTATGACAAAGCGATCAGGATATACACACACTACCTTCCTGCTCTTCCGCATGCGATGCAATTATCATTTGCCACTGCACTGTGCAGGGGACTCTAAAGTCTTGCAAAGCTTAAAAATCCAGAGGGAGGTTGCTGTACAGTTTGAATTTGTTGTGCTACGTGGAATGGAACTTTGCTTCAGAATCCACCTGACATACCTATGTCGGACAGTAGTGTGAACTTGTACGTGCTTTTCGACACAAACAACATGGGTTCTTTTTCCATGCACTTATTGATGTCTCACTATATTCCCAAGTCTGCGTGCAGGATGATGTACACTATGCTCCATAGCTTTAGATGGGTCATAATAACTTGTCTTACAAGGAGATTTTTGTCATGTCCATACTGTTACTTGATAAAGCTAGCGAAAAATGAAAGGCAAACACAAAGGCTAGACAGAAGTCCTCACCTGTGACTAACAACTGACATATATTTGAAAACCACGCTTTCCTCACTTGGCTTTGCCAATCATACATAATATTCCTCCCATTTACTTTGCATTAGGCAGCTGCAAAATATCTGTGCACAAAAGCAACTTATTAATGTAGCATTCCCGAGTACATTTGAGGAATCGCCTCAAAATAATGGAAAACAATTGCTAGACATTGCCTTAGCCTTTCAGAAGAAGCACGCATGCTGAAAGCATGATCCAAGATGTTTATAAACACTCTTAAGGTTGTAAAAAATAATATAGCCATGTCTTGCCCTAAGTTGGCCCTCACGAAGTTGTGTGAGCACAAAACAAGTGATAGCTTTAGCGCCCAGGTTAGGCGTCTTGTAGGTTATCTGCTTGATACAGTGGCCACTCACTGTCACTGAGCATTTAAAGAAGTCTGTTATGTCAAATCCAAGCATGGTTGCAGAAAGCGATAGGAGAAAACGTATTTTAGGGACACTATACATCATTGCGTATCTCACAGGCTAAAAAATGTATAAAACAGATATAGTATTGAAGCTGTCTTTATGACTGCCAATAAGCTTGGTAAGATATGCGCTGTAGTGCAGTGAAAGAATGAGGGACAAGAAGTGAACTGATACTTATTTTGTAAAGAACACGAATAAATGCAGTGATTTCACTACAAGTTTAGTTTGTTTATAAGGTCCTTTCAGCTGCGGCCGCTTCTACATTAGACAAACGTACAAGTGTAGTTTGTTTACAAGGTCCCTTTCAGCTGCGGCCGCTTCTACATTGGACAGACGTGACATGTTGCATTAACCACAGATCATTTGAACACAAGAGATCGCTAACCGGAGCCTCACCTTCTAATCTTTCTTAATATTGTCGAGAATGTAAGTGCTCGCCAATGTTTGAATGTGCAGTTTTGTATCGGCATAGGAATAAAGAAGCGTGTCTGATGATAGACATGATATATCGATTATAGTAGTAGCCCATGCGTGAGCCAACCGTCAATTGACTTGCACAAAGATTAAACCAAATACCTTAACAGTTATCTTTCAAGCAGTCCCCCACATGTACCTGACAAATAGGTTTGCTGATTGCAAGAGCATGTGCAAATAAGTTTTCCTGTGTTCTTTATTTTGCCCAATTGTGCACAACTTCAGTTGTTAGTAGGCATTTGTGGTGACCTAACTTCCTCCTTGTGTACACGTGTGCATACCCGGTGTTTTTATGATAAATACGTACTAACTAGCTCAGCTCTGTTATTTCAAGAAGTAGGCATGGTCCTTTAATGCAGCCACGTAGAAGCCTCTTTGCAAACTCACATGACAAATGCGTGCAAGCAGCGCAGTCTGCAAAAGCACCTCAGCACTCTCAATGAAACTTGTTGGGCTAGTTGGTTATTCGTCATATTGTAAGATAATTAGCACAACCTTGACTCGCACATCCACCAGAATAACACACACAACACTCAGCACTCGCTACCAACTGTTTGTTGCTCTTGAATGATCCTCTTATATACATACAAAAAAAAAGGCAGTAATGAACAAAGGTGCGCATGTGGAAAACATTCAACAAGTGATGTATGTAATGCCACCACCCAACAAGGTAACAAATGAAAAAATTTCACATCAATAGAAAATATCTTTTCTCGAAGCAAGTATTTAGTGCTTCTAGCTGGTTTATCTGCTTTTCGTACTTTTATTTTTCAAAATTAATTTTATTTGTTACCTTGTTGAGTGATGGCGCAACATATACCGTTTGTCAAATGCTTTCCACGTGTGCACTTTTCTTCATCATTGCCTTTGCGCATTTTTCTGTACGTATATAAGAGGGTCATTTTGGAGCAATAAACAGCTGGTAGTGAGACTTGGGTGGATGAGTGAGTGTTCGTGTTTGCAGGAGCCAAGGTTGTATTATCTTATATGGCCTTAGGAAAGCATGAGCACACTGCACAGTAATAGTTGGCATTGATCGGCTGCACAAATGCAGCAGGTACTAGGGAATAGCACTTTTTTTTTGTGCAGCAGAAAACTGCGAGGTAGAAATGTGCAGGTACTAGTCAAAATCTGGATGAGTGATGGAATTTCTACCAAAGAAGGGGAATCGTCTGAGGGTTCTTGTTTTTTTTTTTGTATTTTACACAACTACAGTGATGGGAATGCCTTCCAACATCTTAGAGCAGCCATTGGAGCAAGCGAAATCTGCTTTTGAAGCATGCACCAGCTTTCCATGACAGACACAAAGGAAGAAAATTAAGCTTTATTATAGTTTAATGTTCCCTCAGTTTACATAATCATTTATACAGAAGCAGCAAGCCCACAAAATAAATAAAAATAGGACTATGTACAGGCGTGATGACAAAAGATAGAGAAGAATATTGCACCAACAAACTAGCTCAATTATGAAGTTCGTAGCAGTGCAGATGTGTAAATACACACACACACACACACACACACATTCATAGCTCGTTACAGCAAAACCTCAGTAATACGTACATACATGCTGACAACCTGCCGGAAACACGGCTAACTACGCACTAAGCGTAGAATGCATTAACGATGAAATACATAACCATGCGCAGGGTTCCCCTTCAGAGGAAAAGGGGGGGGGGGCAGAGGTTCGTTGCAGCAGCCACCCCTCCTTATCATGTCAATGTATATGAGGCCGACTTTGTGCCCTCCCCCCCTCCCGTGCACACGCCTAAGATCAAGCACCAATTTGCATTTCTTTACGTGCACCATCACCGCTAAAGAAGGAATAAATACACTCACATGTGGAATACACTCATATGTGGAAATACGTAGGCCTGACACGTAGGTGCCTAAACGAAAGACTGCGGGAGCACTACAACAATGTGCTCATATCGGTGCAAGTCCACTAAGGCCTGCATTGTCGAGACTGCAGATGCCAGTCAGATTTATATAAAATTAAAGTGATAGCTAAGCACAATAATCAGACAATGCGTGAAATAATTGAGGCATCCGAGATTATCCCCCTGGAAGATGACTGCGTCAGTATGGCTTTTTTTTTTTTTTCACGCTGATACAGAAAGAAATTATGTATCTACCCCGTAATGAAAGATGTGTGATAGGTGCATGTTACCTAGGCATGACTCGTCATTTGAATTGTACTGTATAAACATTTCTCCTTATTCATTTTTGTAAACCCTTTTTGTAATCATGAAACACGCGCTTGTGCCCGTCTAGTTTTTCGTCCCACGTGCTCGTCTTTTAAACAGTGCGCGATAAGCTAACAATGAATAAAACTTTGCTCGAACACACACCATAGAATGCAATGACGCAAATAAGCCTTTGGTCTTGTGCCTATTTTTTGGCATCCAAGAGGTTTCTGGTAATGCAAAGCACCAGAAAAACTTTATCTTTGCGCTGATTCTGGAGGACAGCAGCAATGCTATTACAACCAAGATTAACAGTTTAAGCATGCTGCACCATAGAATTCAAAAACTTTCATTCACTCTGCAGCAAACAGCTGAAAGTATTGGACACTCACTTGATACTAATTACAATGAAACCTTGTTAGTACACATCTGCCGGGAATTCGGTGTAACTACGCACTAAACGGTCGTATGCAGTAGTCACCAAATAGTACAAGTTTGCATCTCTTGACATGCACCACCGCTGCCAACAAAGAAATACAGTGAAGGAGGAAATATTGCTAAAAGTGCAAAGCCTTTTCTTTATTTTTGCCAAAGCGTAGAAAACATTTCAGCACTCTCACACACAATCGTCCTGTATGATCCATTCAGATGATGGACTGAATTCCAATTTGTCATGGATGCCAGTAAAGCTGAAATCAACTGCAACGACATCCATATGACTCAAGCACACTACCAGTACTGCTTGCCAGCCTGGATGTTAAAAACTGGTTGGGCTCATCTGTCTGCAGACAAGTGAGGGAAATAACTGATGTGGTCACGTGACATGCTGTCTGAGCCTCCACCATCGTCTGAATGCACCAATAGTATGCAGCGGCTATGCCAAGGAGAATTTGAAACTATTACAGGGTCTGGGATATGCAGCGACTGACATAATTACAGAATGGTGGAGAGTATCAGTTTTCTGCGTCACATGTGCGACACATGTGCAACACATCTATACCACGATTGAAAATGGACAAGTTCTTTTTAAACACAATACGACTGCATGGAGCCAATCGTTTCCTTGCTAGTAACATGCAGGTCATCACTTACTAAGCTCACACCGTTACTG